CTGTCACAAAGGGGGAGGCTCGCCTCGGGCATTCTTTCGTGGCAGGCACTGCCTCTGGGCAGCACCAGGGGCCACGGAGGCTCCTCTGGGCCAGAACCCAAGGATGGCTAAGGATGTTTCACTCTTTTCAACTCCTCCCCTCCTGGAGGACTCTCTTTTCTCTTCCTGGCTCCGAATGTGACTGCCAACAGGAGGGCTCGTGGTATCCTCAAACCTATTTCCCCAGCTCAGACCCAAGCTGGGCTTCCTCCTGGGATGAAAGAGGTGGCCCGAGAGGCTCCTGGAGTGGTGTGAGGGATTGGGTGGCATTTTTAAGGGCGGCATTTTAAAAGCTCCATGGAAAGAGGTGCCTGGTAGCTGTATATATGGTCCTAGGCTTTGGGAAGGCAGGATAATGAAAGTGGAAAGGGGGGGAAATAGGCCAGGTTACTTTGCCCAGAGCCCCAGATAGCCTAGCACCCTTCGAAGGGGTGCACCCTGCCTTGGGCCCCAGACTCCTACTTACCCAACCCCATCCAGGGTCTGCAGAGCTCAGGCTCGCGGCTGGGCAAGGGCTAGGGCTCCATCAAACCCCTGACTTGACCCCCTTTTTGTTGAAATGGAACCACTCCCACTGGCCTATTGTTCGTCTCTCTTGTACTTCTTGTAATGGTAGTTATTTATTGACTCTGGTAGCAGGCAGTTCTTAAATAAAGTTGATTTCTCGACAAGCTGGGGCAGCTGGCACCTGCTGTGGGTGTTTTCTTCAGGCTAGATCGCACGTCCTGTCCTGTTCCCTAACCCAAGCTTGTCACCAATGTTCCCAGCCCCCCTCCACGCAGTCAGCTAGAAAGAAGGCACAGCACACAGTCCCTACTGCCTGCTGCAGGTCTGGGAGGGGGAAGAATGAGGCTGAGAGACTTTAAGGCAGGTCTAAGCAGAGCACAAGCAGGCAGCTTACTACCCTGCGCGGGCTTTACCCAACACAGCGGTGTCAACAGTGCTGCTGCCATGGGACTGCTCTGGGCTTCCTGGTTTTTAAGGTATGTGACAGCAGTGAGTCAGCGGTACCCAAAGGAAGCCTTCCCCCTGCAGGGACACAATGACCCCCACCTAGCAAGAAGGCGCTTCTCTGCAGCCAAGAGGATGTGAATTCCTGCTGGCATTCGGCAGCTGCGGGGTTCTCTCCTGCATTCAGACACTCAAGCTTCCCTTGCATCTGAGTGACACACCTGCACAGCCCTGCAAATGGTCCAGCCTTTTGGCGCAAAGCAGGCAGGGCTCCGTGCCAACTGGGCTGCACGGCCTGTCGGGGTTGGGAGCCGACGCAAGCGGAAGCGCTGCCCCTTGTGCTCAGCAGCCCCAGGAGGCGGACAGTACAGTGGGCTGATCCCTACCACCTGGCACCTGATGGGGCTGCTGGGAGCACTGGCCAGTCCAGAATCCAAATTTCAGTCAGTGAGCATGTCCTTGACCCTCCCTGCAGGGGCAGATTACATGCATTGAACTGAGTTCCTGTAGGAGGGCTTGGGGAGGGGGGGGGGGGTGCGTGTTCTCTTCCCTGTTCAATCCCTCCACATCCTAAGTGTCCAAACTTAAGAGCCCAAAGCCCAGAGGCTGGGAGCCTAGAGCTGCCCAGTACCCCACCGCAGGCTTCACCACTGGCTGGCACTAGATGCTGGACAAGCCACTGGGCTCTCCCTGGGTCTGGTGCTCCTGCCCTGAGATAGGGAACTGCCCCCCTTCAAGCCTCCTCCCTCCTGGGCTGCAACACACTGAGTTCATCAGACCTGAGATGCTGTTTTAGGGTCTTTCCAAGACTAGCAAGTGCCCTCCTCTGAGTGCTCAAGCACACAATCTATGTTTCCTCGGGGACCTTCTCTTGCTCCCCTGCAGTCGTTCCCAACGACACACAGTGCCAGCCACACGCAGGACGGCACTCACCCGGCCCTCCCACTCCGCAGGCCAGTCTGCTTGCTCCACTAGAGTCAGCAGCAGAACCGGGACCAGAACCCGGGTCTTCTGAAACCCATCCCCTCTGAGGTACAGAGAATGGTGAAGGGGGTGGGAAGAGTGTGGAAATTTATGATCTTTTCAAAATAGGAGCAAACTGTGTGGGCTGAGGCCAGGGGTCCTCAATCTTTGCTTGATAGAATTACCTATAAAACTTCTGAAAACCAGAGACACTTTAAACTCATGATTGATGTGTATCTGGGACATTAGAAGGGCCTAAGAGCAAGGACTCCCCTGTGGCAGTGAGCACGTTTAGCACCCAGACATTGGCTTCTAAATACTATTCCCCACTCTGAAAGGGAACTAGAATTCCTTGGAGAAACGGTAGGTTCGGTTTTGGAAAAAACAAAGTCCAAAAGTGGATCTGAGGCATCTTGTTCGAGAACGCAAGGACATGCTCTGAGTCAAATGGGACCGCAACAGAAGGATGAAAAGACGGGGCTTGAAGAGACTCCTACTGGCCAAAACTGGGGACAACTTAAACATCAAAAATAGGACAACAGTCATGGATCATATATAATTCACTGAAAAACAGAATCCACAGAGACCTCAAAAATAAAAAAGAGTAGCTCTTCTTTATAGAAAGATGCAAGCTAATAAATATAGCAAGGGCACACACAGAGTCACCATTCTGCAGTCCCTGGCAGGTAATAAGCAAGGATCATGAATTCTAACGCATTCTAAGGCATTAATAGTTATTAGAAAATCACAGAGTATCCCCCCCACCCACAAATTACTAATTACAAGAAGAAAAAAATATACATCTTTGGAGAGACCTGGCAATCACCACAACCAAATTACCACACTTACCAGTAGTGAGTCACCCTGACACTGTGTTCCTCAGGCGATGCAGCGAGCAAGGGAGCACACATCGTTTGTGTAGGGTGTGGTCAAAATGAGGCAGATCTGTTCCTCAGGAATGTAATCATGAGGCGATCATGACAAACCTGGATGGTGGGTCACTATCCAAGACAACCAGCTTGACTCATCAATAAAATCGATGTCAGGGATCCCTGGGTGGCGCAGTGGTTTGGCGCCTGCCTTTGGCCCGGGCGCGATCCTGGAGACCCTGGATCGAATCCCACGTCAGGCTCCCGGTGCATGGAGCCTGCTTCTCCCTCTGCCTGTGTCTCTGCCTCTCTCTCTCTCTCTCTCTGTGTGCCTATCATAAATAAAAATTTAAAATAAATAAATAAATAAATAAATAAATAAAATCGATGTCATGATACACAACAAAAATGTCATGAAGTAAGACTTACGAGAAACAAATGCAGCATGTGAACCTTCACTTGATCCCGGATCAAGTATTACAAGGCTCTGATATTTTAGAAGCCAGGAAGACAAAGTATCAGCCATATGTAAGATCAGGGAACTGCTAATTTTCTCAGGTGTGATGAAGACCTTGTAGTCGTACAGAACGCCTTTATTAGCAGATGCATACATGATTTAGGAGTAAAGGGTCACAATATCTGTGACTAACTCACAAGTGGTTCAGTAAAATCAGCATCGATTTAGAAAGATAAATGTAGAAAAACATTCACAATTGGTGAGTCTAAGTAGAGGACCTATGGTTGTCCTCAAACTTTCCTTTTTACTTTCTATGGGGTTGAAACTATTTTAACTTTTTAATTTTTTTTATTTTTTTTAAAGATTTATTTATTTATTTATGAGAGAGGGGGGCGGGCAGAGACACAGGATGAGGGAGAAGCAGGCTCCATGCTGGGAGCCCGACGGACTCGATCCCGGGTCTCCAGGATTGCGCCCTGGGCCAAAGGCAGGCGCCAACCCGCTGAGCCACCCAGGGATCCCCCTATTTTAACTTTTTAAAGTAAGCTCTATGTCCAACATTGGGCTTGAACTCACAACCTGAGACTGAGTCACACACTCCACTGATTGAGCCAGCCGGGCGCCCCTGAAATTACTTTTAACAGCAAAATAATAGCCAAAACTTAAGTTTAGCCAAAATTTAAGGAGCTATTAGCATCCTCAGGGTTGGGGCTCAGGAAATCTCCTTCAAAAGCTCATCCAGGTGATTCAGATACACAGCTAGAGAAGAGAAGCACTAGTCTAAGTCTTCATATCTGCTATCACGTGTGCAGCTGGAAAAAAAATGAGGGGAAGACTCCTATTCTCTCTGGATCAGCTCAGCTAGCGGCCAAGAGCCTTCTCCCCGACCATTCCTGCAAGCCAATTATCTCACACAGTCTGAATCGCCTGAGGATCTTAGGATGGATTCCCTACGGAGGTAGGAAAATCTTAGTCCTTCCTTGGGTGGCCTTGGCTGCTGCAAGAAACCCACACACTTGACCTTCCCAGGAACACACACTTCAGGGCACTGAAAGAGTGAGGAGGACAGGAAGAGAGAGCAAGCCAAGGAAACCTACCAGACGAAGAATCTAGTGTTTCACCAGGCATCAATTTAACAGTGATCACAGAGTTTGCCCAGGGAGCACAGAAGGGGCAATTTATTAACATTTAGTGACTGTTAACATACCAGGTCAGATGTCATTACTAACACCCTCGGCCCTGCCTCACGTGGGCATATGCCTCCTACAAAGCATGTGTTGTCTATTCTAAGAAATTGGAGAAAAAGGAAAGCTGGACTTATTATGGGACAATTTATACAAATGCAAGAGACTTTTATCTAGAGAGCAGAGAAGGTGTCCATGCAGCTACTGTGAATTATTTTTATTGAAAGGGAAAAAAGGTTTCCACTAGGAAAGTTACTAACATATCCTTCTACTTGTTTATACTGCTCAGAAGAGACAGAGGTCTGGAGAGGCAACAAGTTCTGAGAGAGAGTGAATGCAAGCTTGGAAGACAGAACTCTTCTCAGGCGCAGGGACAGTACCTCCAAGTTAGGAGCTTCCTGGGTGCCTCGTGGCAGGGAAGATTAGAAAGATCCACCACGATGCTGCCCCTCTCCATGTGCCCCATTCCCTCCTTCAGCGGGGGGAGCCCTCCCTCCTAGTCAGGCCACAGCCAGCCGGCCAGAAACTCTTAGAAAGTTAGCTCGGCTTCCTGAACAGCCGGTCCAGCTTCCGGGGCAGCCAGCCTTTCAGGAGGAGGGCCTTTAAGGACTCAAGGCCGGCACCACCGTTGATCTTCCTCAGCCCACTGCCCAGGGCGATGATCACCAGCACAGCACCGACCATTCCACTGGCCATCCCTATTCCCACAGCTACAGCCACCGTCTTCTTCCACGGGTGGTAAGGCTTAGGACCGTTGTCCAGATTCACTTCCAGACCCTTATCTACGAACTTCTGGTTCTCGGTGAGGGACTGATGAAAATTCAGATTCACCAAGTTAGAGGGAAGGACCCGCAGCCCAAAATAGAGCCTCTTGACAAATCTGAAGTTTTTTAACAGCTGTACGTCACACCGGTATGTCCCCGCGTCATACTCCTGAACAGACTCAAACCTCACGAAGTGGGAATCAACTTGGAAGGGTTTGAAGATTTCATCATCAGTTGAGATGATACCACGGGCAAATCTCCAGGTGAACCGGAAAGCTTCCTTTCCCACCGCCAGGATGTCTGAGCTCAGACAGCTCAGCTGGAATCTCCTCCCTATGACAACGGTGAAGTGGAGCATCCCACAGATCCAGTTGGTGAGACATTCCAAGCGCTGAAACGTACACTTCCTCCTCACACCGTCGGGGCCCACCTCGCAGACGGTCTCTTCCTTATAGCCAAGGCCACAGGTGACCGTGCAGGGTGTGGTATGGACAATAACCCTCCCCACGGCTTGCTGCAGTCTCTTTGGGATGGCCAGTGTTTTCAGGGGCGCCACCACCAAAGGCAGACAGAAGGCCAACGCCAGGCTCCCGAGGAGGAAGCCAGTGGCCCAATTCCTCATGTCTCACCACGGGCATCCCGGACGAATCCTCTACGGTATCATCACTTCATTCTTTTCACACAGGACAGCCTTCAACATGAAAAGACAGGGCGCACCTGTTGTCAATGAAACACAAGTCCTGTCCACAAAGCAGGAGAAAAGTCACCACGTTGCTGCTTTACTAGCTCTTGTTGGGGACTACCTCTCCAGCCTTTGTTCTGTCCACGCCCTTGTAATGAATGCAAACCCACCCTCTGGGGAAGACAAAGATGAAGAGACTTCAGCTTCTGAGGTGAATTTCCAAGTTACATCAAAGGCATAGCAGGAAGCTACTCTTCCTCTCTCCTGCCCCTCCTGTCCAAATTGTGGGATCCAAATTACAGGGCTTCGAAATCCCAGTTAAATGTGACCAAGTAAGAAAGCAAATACCACATTTAAGAAAATAAATAAGAGGGATTACATTGCATTAAATCGTTATTCTTTAAAGTCTCCTAAATCTTCTGTAGAAAAGGATTAAGAATTCTTGGACCGGGAGGAAAGGGACTGATCATTCTTGAATTTCTATTTTCTCCTTTGTAAATTAAGACCTCCTTGCCTACTTCAGGAGGGTTACTTTGGACATCAAATGATAAACGGTACATGAAAACACTTTGCCAAGTGTGTAACACTGTTCATGGGTAAGGAATTTTAAATAGAGATGAAAATTCATGAAGACAAGGGCTGAGCCGCCCTTTTAGGATCCAAATGTTTATCAGCAAGAGGGGCGATACTCAATACAGCCCCTCTCCCCATTCTAGACCCTCTTTCTTCCCAAGGGCACTGAAAGTATGTACGGGGGCGAGGATACATACATCTTCCTGCCTACCCCTTGGCGTATTCCCTTAAGTCTACACAACAGAGGAGTGCATCATTCACTTAGGTCAAGGTTGCTATGAAACAGCTATGACGTCAAAGATGGATTCTAAGTCCCAGAACAAAAAAAAAAATCAGCGGTAGACACCCAGATCTGACAATGATTAAAACCAAAGACATAAACAGACTGGAGTTTGAAAGCTGTTTCAGTGAGTTTGAAAGCAATTTAGTCTAGGGGGGAAAAGGTCAAAGAGGAATTTAACAATACTTACACTTTGAGAAAGATCCTTGGAAGGGACGAATGCCCCTCACACGTGTTTTATAACATCCAGAATATCCCCCTGCACCATGGCCTCTACCAACTTACGGAGTTAAAGAATTTGAAGAGAGAGGATTCCTAGATGATCTTTGTGATTTAACACCAACTCTTCGCTTCAATCATTTATTTATAATCTTCCCTGGAGGCAGAACTCTACACCCCCCCCCCACGCCCTACTCCTCCCAGGTCCACATCTCCACACAGAAAGAGCTAATATCAGTACTGTAAACTGTATTTCCGGTCATACAAATCAAAGGGGCTAGTGAGTTTCAGAAGCAGTCAGTGTGCACAAACATCCACACCTGTTCTTTAATAAACATCCAATTTTATTTACAAAGCATTAAAGCTTCAGCAAGAAGTAACCCAAGGCTAAGTCTCATCTTGTACAAAACTATGGAACATTAAAAAACGAAATGGCAGGGGTGAGGTGGGGGAAAGGAATGACAAAAGAGAAGAGAATGTGCATATGTTGTACAAATTGAGAAAATCAAACTGGATAGAGTTTCAGGAGCTGAAAAAAATCCCAAAAGCATAAATAATTATTAGGAACTGCTGCCAGAGACCAATTGACAGGGCTGAAGCCAATTTTCTCAGTAGCCAGTTTAGGAGGCAGGCATAACCTGAACATCCCAATGCACAGGCAGAGGACATCAAGCTACCTTGCCCACTGAAGTAAGGCAGAGACCTTGGGCATCACACAGTTTGTTGCAAGATCCAGACCACGGTGCAGGTACACAGAGAAATGGAATGGAAACAATGCTGGCAAAACAAAAAACAAGCCCAGTGAGCCAGCTGCCAATTTCAACCACTGGTCTGATGTGAAACAGGAAATGAAATTCACAAAATGAGCATTTGAGGAAAAAAGCGGTGGCATCTAAAAATACAGGCACATTTTGGAACTGACTCAGGGGGAGCTCTTACTTCAACTACTGAGTATTTTGGTTCCAAAAGATGGAGCAGGAGAAAGAGGCTCTTCCTGACGTAAGTCTACTTTGATTGCTATCCTAAAATCCCAAAGATAATCAACCTGTGTGGCTGCTGCAGGAGCAACCCAGCTGCTGATTGAACTCACAATAAGCACAGCGCTGAAACTCTGCTTTGAGAATACCGTGAGGACGAGGACAACCCAGGTCAAGCACTTCCAGTCAGCCAAAGGCTTGCCATACCCGGGGACTCTGGGTTCTCAGAGAATCTCAAACACCTTGTGTACAGATCCATCCAATCTGCTACTTTTTATATAAAGAACAAAAAATGCAAGAAGCAGAAAGTAAAAAAAAATTTTTTTAAAAGCTAAGCAACCTTTCACAGAAAGGAAGAGACTGAGAACACGCCGGATGGAGGAGGTGGGGGCTACGGGAAGGGAACAATGTTGTGACTGAAGGGGAGAGACAGAGATCCACATGCAATGATAAAAAAACAAATTTTTCCTTGATCTTTGATTTGAACTGTGTTGATGCTGCTTTGATTTCGGATGGTTTTACATTAGTCCTTTGCATAGATTCCCCCACCCCAATCAAAAAGAGACACCGTGTTTGTTTCCCTCTCTGGACGCCAGCATGGGTGAAGCAATACGTACTACTGATGATTCTTTGCTGAAGATGGATAAAACGAGCTAACTTCAAAAACCATGATTAATGAGAATGTACCAGTACCAGAGGAAAACATGCAATGAAAGGAAAACAAGGAAAAACCTTGACCCTCTTACAGCCCAGCTTCTGGAGCAAAATGGGGTATGTTAAGAAGAGGGGGCCCTTTATCTTTCTTCCCTTTCTGAAAACTTGAAAGCTTTCGAGCACTTTCTTTCCTGCCCATCCTCTGTTGTACACACTATGGAAATACAGGAGGTATCTGGTGAGAAGAGTTAAGTTTTAAAATGGAAGACAGAATATGTAACAAGTTTTTCTAGGTTACCGGCAGCAAAATTTCAGATAAGAGTAAGTCACTCGAGGACATGCACTGAGGATGGAAGGCAAATAGGATAGGAAATGTCAGGTGAAAATGATCCTGGGTACAACAGATGAGCAAAACTGGTCTCTTTTCTCCAGCAATATAACTAAGCACTGAAGTTTGAATGAGTCAAAACTTCTGTTTGATGTCTTCACAAATCCTCATTCCTGAGAGCCTATTTGGACTTATGCTTGAAAGGAAAGGGCCGTATACTCTTCTTCCATAATTCACTTCTTCATTCAAACATATGATTCACTCCTTCCGCCTCTGGGTCGGAGGCAAAGGCCTTTGTTTTAAATTAAAGTCAATCTCAAGTGACTGACCAGTGTCCAGAGGCCACATGATGGCAAAGTGAGAAAGAACGAAGGACTTCAAGTGTCTTCATAAAAGTTCTGAGATTGCTCCCCCTGCTAAAGAGATCAAACACAAAAAGACATCTTTTAGCATCAACTTAAGACCAGTAGCTTGCAAGAAAAGAAATACTGACGGATGCTGGATGATACCTGAAGAGCGCACATGGGTTAGGAATTCCCCCTTTCAATTAAAACCAACTCTAACTCCCATTTACTCTTCACTGAAGCAACAAATAATCCAAATCCCCAACCGCTACCCTAATACTTTCCTTAGTACTGCCCCAAAAGGGGCGGGGGGAGGCAAAATGATCGGAGTTCTACACATTTTTTTTCTACACATTTTCTAAGCTGTTAGCCATTCCCTGACATGTTAACAAATGCTTAATAAAAAAAAGTGCATTAAGTAGAGGAAAGGAAAATCTTTCATATATTGATTAGTTACTAAATAATTAACAATGAGCAACAGACCCCTTTCCAAGCACCCCTGTGCCTTAACTAACATTCTCCTCACCTTAGTGTCCCAATATGATGAAATGTTAATGAAATCTACTGCTGGCATTTCTATGCACCAACAACTGATCAATTAAAAAAATCCTAAATGGTAAAGTCAAATGAACACTTCCCTGATTATTCCATAGAAGCTGTTCAAACCTCTGAGGGACATCCTTAAATGGGCTGCTGTGAAATATTAACTAGGAAGTGTAAGAAGAGAACAAGGTGAAGAAAATCCTCCCAGATGTCATCTGGAATGGGGGGGCGGGAGGGCACATGCCACTTGAAGGTATAAAATGGATAAAAAATAAAAAAATGGTTAAAAAATGACTGTCCCAAGTGTTGAAAGAAAAGTACCCCCATTTATAAACTTTGCTTTTAGCCTGATTTTTAAAGTAAAAGTTCAAGCACAGATGAAAACTGGCAATAAAAATAGATTTCCATTTGCCTGAGAACAGATGAGAAGTTATGCGATACAAACTCTTCTGGATGCTACACTGTTAAAAATCAATTTTAAACTTTATACAGTTAAGAGAAGAAATTTCTTTAGCCATTTTTCAGATCTGTCAACATAAAACAACAATATCTTGAATTGATTTTTTTAAAAAATCCTTGAGGTAGAGGAATCTCCTCCACTGCTGCGATACCAAGCCTTTATTGCATTAAGGCTGGTCTCACTGGCTGTTCCCCACAGGTACCCTGACCAATCTTCTTTTAGCCGTTTAAAAATGAGCACACCATTAAAGTTTTGAGCCCAAATCACAATAGGAAAAACTGGTTTGATCACAAATCAATAGTAATAATAATAAGCACTCAAGATGACTCATGAGGTACATTATACTGATTATCTGCAGTCACTTAATGTTTCTGTATTGTCCTCATTCATGTGGACAGCAGCAAAAAAAAAAAAAAAAAAAAAAAAAAAAAAAAGCCTTGTCCAGGCATCAGGTAACAAACCAAAACCCACAGCAAGCAGTAACACTATGAGCAAGATAAAATACAGAGCAACAGCAACATGAGAAGAGCTCCAGGCTACTTAAAAATCTGCCCCAAGGATCTGTATTATTTTGCTGCAACATAAAAGAAATCGCCAGTAACATAAGAAAAACTGAGCTCATGATGAAGAGCTGTTACTGGTACCCCCGGACAGCAGCCAAAGTGAAGGAGGCCCAAGGAAAGAATGGATATTAACTTTCAAATATTACCTTAGTCCACTAATTAAATCACAAAGAATGAAAAAGAAGATCTCAACTAGCTGATTTTTAGCAGGAGTTCATAAATTAGTCTTTGAAAGATTGCTCATTTTTAAAAAAAAAGGGGGGGATCCCCTGGGTGGCGCAGCGGTTCGGTGCCTGCCTTTGGCCCAGGGCGCGATCCTGGAGACCCAGGATCGAATCTCACGTCGGGCTCCCGGTGCATGGAGCCTGCTTCTCCCTCTGCCTGTGTCTCTGCCTCTCTCTCTCTATCATAAATAAATAAAAATTAAAAAAAAAAAAAAAAAAAAAGAGAGAGAGAGAGAAGAGGTGGAGAAAGTATTCAGTCCCCACCAAGTATTCAGAACAAAGGGATACAGGAGGTGGCTCAGAGGCCTGGGGTGGCAGGCTGGCACCAGGACAGCAATGATGTGGCCCCACTCAGGGAAACTCGCCTGGTGTCCATGTGCCCCCAGAAGTTGCGCCTCTGCTGCCTCTGCCCTTTGTCACCTGCAAGAGACCCAGGTATATACCAACTTCTTCATGCCCACCACCCCAAGAGCTCTTCAGACCATGCGTGTAATGGGCCACAACTTTGCCACACTTGCTAGAAGCCCAAGTCCCTGGGGAATCCCTGAGCCATCCCAGGACAATGAGGATCATGGTGGTTCGGCCCAATCTCAAGTCCCTGTTCTGAGGACTGTACTCTGGAGAGAATCTAGTTAAGAAAATTGAGGGGAATCCCACAGATGGTGCCAATGATGTTGATCTGGCCTTTCGCAAAGTCCTAAGCTCAGGGCTACCCTCACTAAGTAAGCTTCACTGACAGGTCCTCGTTCATCAGAGAAAGTGTGTCTTCGTGGATGTAGGTCCAATAAGGCTAGCTAACACTGATGATCAAGAAGAATTTTCTGTAGCCCCAGACTCCAGATGGCCAGATTATTTCTATAGAGGTCAGGTGTCTTCCAATCTTCCCGTGAAGACTGCCTTCATCTCCTGTGGCAACACGCAACAGACCCCATCAGCTTTGTCGGGGGGCCAGTGAGGCCTTACTCACTAGCTCCTTCCGTAACTGCTCAGCAGCAGATTTCAACCAACAGTCACCACAGTTATCTAACCTGAGCAGCGACACAGGCTGCACACCTATGATCCCTTCAAACAGTTTGGGTCTAATGGAAAAGTAGGGCACTGGGGCAGAGGCGAGGTCCACAAAGCCTTGAATCTATCAACACAACCTACAGACCATCGATTTTTGAAGACGCTTCAAACTCAGGCACTTTGGATCAAGTTTCGTATTTTAATATCCCCTGGAAAATCTACAGTGAGCGCACATAATGCTTTTTATAGAAAATCTGAGGTATGGAAGAGTACAAAATTCAAATGCCAAAGAGATTTCACCTCAGCGGCCTCTGCAGTGAAGTGTGGCGGGAGAACCAAGGGAATTCAACAGCATGTGCCAGCCAGCCTTCACCTGCCCCGGACCCTCCAGGCTGACCACAGTATTGGAGGAGGTCCCAGTTTTGCCCAAAGAATCCCACATAAAAGCTATGATCGGTTGTCCTGAAATTCAGACATCTGAGGAGTTCTCAGACACCCAGTTTCACCCTATGCGATGTTCAGCCTCCTCCACAAGCTCCAAACCACACAGCAGCCAGCCCATGAAACTCGATGCAGCCCTTCTGAGGAAGTTGTGGAAGCAAACCACAACGCACCTCCCACCCTTTGATTTTTTTTTTCTTTTTTCTTTTTTTTTAGATCCTGCTCCTCAGCACCCTCTGGTTTAATCTGGCCATTGCAGATATGGAGATTTCCATTTAGGGAAAGGTTAACTAACAGGGCCAGAGGAGAAAATGGGAGGAAGGAACCATAATTTACGTGGGGAAGTTTGCACTGCACAGTCATGACAAGCTGGTGAGATGTGTGCATTATCTTTGCAGTTGTTCTGTGTGTGTGTGTTGTCAGAAAAGGTACCATTCCCCCTGGTCTGATACACTGAAGTCTCTAGACCCTTTAAAGGATGAAGCTGTTAAAACAGCTGCCTCCCTCTAAGGCTCATCAACTCACACACCTAATAAAAACAAAGCAGAAAATAAAAGTCCAGTTTACAGCACCCGCTCTTCCAAGGTAGAGGTTCTAGCTTTACTGAGGTCAGTACCTCATTTAACCTTGTCAGCAAAGTGAGTAGGAATAAACTCCTAACAGGCCCTAGAGACTGGTATCCACTCTTGCTAGGAGCTTGAAACACTGACTTCTAATACTGACGTATCTATTTTTACATACAGTTCAAAATCTCACTGCAAACTATTCAGTATTTTGAGAATTTTAGGAAATAAAAATGACTGAGTAAACTTTCTGACATTTGATTTTGACTCTCATTTAGACAAGTTTGAAGTACAGCTCAGAGACATCACTGCTACTGTAAAATCTAACAGCTGTAAAATCTAACAGCAGTTCATGGTGTCTCTGACAGAAACCCAAGTGGGAAAGGCCAGAGATAATTACTTACTGCTAGTGATCACATCAACTATAACTAAAAGTTGATTAAAGAGAGAAACGTTCATTTTCAAAAACTTGTAAATGATTTACATGGCATACACATACTATTAAAAAGCAAATGATTAATTACTGGCAGGTTCTGAAGAAGCTAGTGGACTATGTCCTAGAGTATTTCAATTAATTCAATATGTCTGGCCATACTTAATTTAAAAAATTTTTTTCTGGCCACATTTTATTTATCTTTATCTTTTTTTAAGTAGGCCTCACACCCAGCATGGAGCCTGATGCAGGGCTTGAACTCCCCACCCTGAGACAAGACCTGAGCTGAGATCAGGAGTCGGACGCTTAACCAACTGAGCCACCCAGGCACCCCTGTGGCCACATTTTAAATCACCCTGAAGCATTTCAGCTCTTCAAGCCAGAAAAATCTATTTAAACTTAAGCTGTGCTTTTCTCTAGTGGCATCAGCTTATACAAGAAATAGGTTATAGAGGGATCGCTTTTATTTACATTAATCAATTACTGACCCGCCATCTTTGCTGGCAATGGCCATGTAACTTTTCCCAGCTATTAAAAATATATATAGAAAGTGAAGCCTTAAGTGGATTGAATGTGGAAGTGCTGATTCTCATTGGAACACCATAAATACTGCTGTTGGGGAAAAAACATTGGTGGCTCAGTGTTCTGTGATGGCTGTAAAAACCTACAATCTAAGTCTAACACGTATGAGGTGGGATGTGAATGAGTCTGCTTTAGCTTCCCTATGGAAGGGAATTCAGGTTCATTCGAATGACAGCAGGTCAACCTCCAACAAGGATCTGTCACACACCGCAGTCATGTGTCCCCATCAGCACAGATGGGGTCACACGCTGAAGTTGAAATTTTAAAGCAAGAGGGAAAAAAACCTGCAAACAACCACTGGTGTCTGATCAGTCATGTCTCTGAGTCTCTTGACCTAGCTGCAGGAAATCCAGAGTACTGTATTCACTAAAGCAGTGCTCACATATAGACCACTTTCCAAAAGTCAACAATGAATAGAATTGGACTCAATTTGATCACTATTTTCCAAACAAGAGACCATCTGGCCTATACCCACAAGTATTTGACAGGAAATTAAAACTGTTCTGTCCCCCAATAAACTCCCTCAATCATAAAAACGTGACAAATAATCTCCTCCTATCTGGAAAAACATCTCACCTTCTTCCTTAACATGATGGTACTACTGACAATTTTTTAATTATTACTTCTAGACTACTGACTACTGACTGACAGGGGGAGAACCACCACCTCTGGAAGTAGAACAAATAAAGACAAGATGCTACAAACAGGACTGTATAAAGCAAGCTTGTATTTCTGGTTATCTGTCTGGCTCTCTAATTTGAGGCAAAATAAAACAAACCTAGAAGCAAATAGAGGCAAAGAAATTAATTAAACCAGGGGTTCTTACCCTTTTTGGAGGTCACAGACCTCTACAGGAATCTGCTGAAAGCTGTGGGCATCCTCCCCACAAAAACATTCATATAGTATTTTGCATATACATAGATTCCCTGAAACCTCTTCATGGGTCCAACGTTAAAAGCCACCGAATTAAGCCAAATCTGGTGTAGTTAGCCCATGGCAGCAGCCTAACACTGAGAAAGTCGGCCAGTGGGTAAAGGAGGGAAGGAAGGAAAGGGTACTGCAGTTACACGGAGTCAGGGGCTGTACAGAGCAAGGCCGCGAAGCAAGCCAGACAGTGCTCCCAATGTGTCCTTACCTGCCAACGGCTGGCTGAGCTCCGCCTGCACTTTACCCTTCGCTGATCCTTCCAGAGGTAAACCTCTGTCCCCTTTGTAGAGTTTCGGTTTAAATGGAGAATCTTTCTCTTTACCTTTTGATCCTTTAGGCCGGCCTGCTTGCTTCTTCTTGGATTTGCCATCCCCCTTCACACCCAGTAGTGGATGGACTTCTGTAAAAGGACAGAGAGGCACGGGAAGGGATCCACATACCGCCCACCCCAGCACCCCAACTAGGCACAGGCCACATACCATTACTCCCTGGGAGCACAGTGCTGCCCTCATGTCCCAGACTCATTAAAACCAGGAGAAAAGTGTGTGCTTACTAATTATAAAACTTGAATGGCCCTTGAATGAGAAATACTTGCTTGGTCAAAGGGCACGAGTGGCCTGTATGGTTCATATTATAGCAGCTCTAAACCAAAACAGAAGCTGAGAGACACACTGGCAACATATCACACCAAGCCAGACCAGGAATGCACACACGCGCACTGGTGGGTGAGAGTAGAAAGGAAATGGGGCTTTGCATCCAAGCCAACCAGGGTAACAATCCTGACTCCTCCACTTCCCGAGACCTTGGTTTGGGCAAGTCACTGGACCTCTCAAAGCCTAAATTTTCTCCTTTGTAAAGCAGAGATAATAAAACAACTGTGGAGCTGATGTAAAACTCACCAGTGACACATAAAGAATAGTGCCTGAAACAATACAGGCACACTATCAAATGACATCAAGAAAACGCATAATTAAGTAACTATGGTCAGCTAAAGGGAGAGAAGGATGTTCAACAGTAAATATACACACATACATACACGCCCAGACTTATCCCCAAGAAGTAATGAATGATAAAGGCTTCCAGAGTCAGACTGTAAAAGCAAGTAGGAAGAATCAAAAGATTATCCAGGTCTGACTGGTACTTCACCACTTGATAAAACCACTCCACTCTACAGAAAAAAAAAGAATGGTATAATGAAACACACTCTGAGCCAGAAGTCAGAGGGTGTCACGTTGTCATTTAGGCAAGTACTAGAAGGACAATTTCTCCAATTTAAAAGAGTATGCAGATGAAATCATTACAAACTTGTAAGGCACTATTAAAAAAAAAAAAAAAAAACTCAGGAAATTTCCTTCAAGGTAAAATCACTCAAATGGGAAATTACCAGACACTGCTGGAGAGTAAAAAGTGGCATCTATCAGGCAACAGGGAAAAGACACAGCCCTTACCATCATTAGGTACTCCTTGAAGTTCTATATTGGTTGTTTTGGGCTTCTTCTTCGGTGGCTGGGACCCATCTGCTGAAGACTGCCTCTTCTTCTCTGAACTAGCCCCTTCATCCATCAGGGAGGTTTGGACCGCATCCGGTGGGGGGCCATAAGGATTTTCTTCTGGATCTTCTACCTCAGGGGCAATGGGTAAATATAATAGAGCCTTTGAATCTTCCAGCTCTTCATCACTATTTGGATCAGGATCAGGCAAGGGATTGGAAAAAAGAGGAGACAGTTGCTTAAACCATGAACCCTTCCTCTAGGGCAGAATCACCTATATTAACCCATAAGCAACAAGTATGGATCTAGAACTTTAAGAAAGCCAAAATGAGTAAAAGGAAATCAGACAATGAATAACAAAGCCATAGTCAAAATAAATGGTATAAATGAATTATTTCAGTTTTTCTTAAGATTTTCTATCAAGGGAAAAGGGACATCTGGTATACCAAAGGAGTTATCACTTTGAACTAATGAATGGAGGACAGCCAGGGGAGGTGAGCAGTACACCACAGCTGGAGGAGGAGGAGTAGCAGTAGCAGCAGCACCCCGCAGCCATGCCTACAGAGGGGACTCACCTGCTACAGAAGGCAGCAATAGGGTCCACACTGGTGACATCCACTTCCTCATCCTCTGCAGCATCAGCCCCTGCAGGGCAGAAACGCGGCACAGGTGTGAGATGAAGGAAAAGACGGCTTTTTTACTTGCAGCCTAATGATTTCTCTAAACTGAAATTCCAGAGAAACAAAGGAGGAAAACCAAACTCAATCACTGCACAAGTCTGTGCTGACTCTCCACCCCATGCTGGGCACTGGGGATACAGCGACAACCCAGAAAGCCACATGCAGTTCTTCAGTAAAAACTCCACACCCTAACCAGGAAGACAGGTATCAACAAGTAATTTCAATTCCATACGCTGTGATGTGCTAAGGAGGAGAAATAACTTAGGTGAGTTTAGAAAGGTTTCACACAACACAATCCAGCAACATCAATATAATCCAGAACAGGCTGCTTCCCTGATGACCTGCCTAGAACACAGGGGGCATATATGTTATCTAACATCACAAACGTGAGGACCAGCACTTTCAATCAGGAAGAACCAACCTCAATCCCAATTCCCGAATTCCTGGCACCGTCCCATGGTCCAGCAGGCCATAACCTGTGGCATTAATTATTTAGCGAGTAATTAATTCATAACCAGGAATACTAAGGATTCATACACATGAACCCCTTTAGATATAAAGCCCTGTGTTAGGGCAGCCCAGGGTGTGATCCTGGAGACCCTGGATCAAATCCCACATCAGGCTCTCTGTATGGTGCCTGCTTTTCCCTCTGCCTGTGTCTCTGCCCCTCTCTCTCTCTCTCTCTCTCTCTCTCTCTCTCTGTGTGTGTGTCTCTATGAATAAATAAATAAAATCTTTAAGAATAAATAACTAAAGCCCTGTGTTAGACAACCATGGGGATTGAAAAGCCAAATCTTTATTCTAAAGGAGCTTCCTATCTAAGTCGTTCAGAAAACAAGATTCAAAAATAACAATGAGGGGCACCTGGATGGCCTAGTTGGTAGAGCAGATGACTCTTGATCTTGGGGTCATGAGTTCGAGCCCCACAATGGGCACAGAGTTTACTTAAAAATCAAATAAACAATGATCATTATCACACTCATAATCAAAAATAACATTTGAATGCTTACCCTGGCCTAAGCACTACACTGAGAGCCTTACAGAAATTCTCTCATTTATTCCCCACAACCCTGTTTTACAGATAAGGAAAATCAGGTTTGGAGAATAAGCATTTTGCCCAAGGCAGTCGGACTCCAGAGCTGTGCTGTTTACCTTCATCGTACTGCCATACCTGATATAGACTGAGCACCCAGCACGGCCAGCTGACCATCTACAATTCATGAGGAAACACAGAGAAAAGGCAAAAGAGCTGCTGAACCCTAGTAAAAATGCCCACTGTACGCAGAGACTCTCAGAACACTGTCAAAACCGTGTAGGCTTGAAGAAAAGAAACTGCAGTCCAGAAATATTACCTGTCTGCTCAGGCTCACTCTTATCTTCATCTTCAATATCAAACTCTGATTCCCTTTCCTCATATTCCACATTTTCATCCAGCTCCTTGAAATCTGGTGCAAACGCACTCCAATTTTCCTAAGCCACAAATGAAATATACTACTTAACCATGTGAGAAACAACAGTGTGTAAGCCAGCCATTACTCACTTAAATGACAGATCAGAGCACTGAAGACTCAACTCTGAGGTTTTATTTGGCAAATAATAAAAATCAGGTACCTATAGGTTTTACTGTCTTAAAGTATTTAGATATTAAATGTTCCAAGTTATTAACTATAGTTTCATGAGGACTGCCATCTTTAATCTTTTTAAGATGTATTTATCAGGTGAAATGTTACCTTTTCTTAGGAGTACACGGTTATGAACATGATTAAAGGTGTTCAAAATAAAAATAAGATCTAAAACAGAGACTGAGCTGAAAATAAAAGCAAAAGAAAACTCTCTCGGGGAACAGAAAAATATAACAAAGTACCCCAGACCTTCTCCCTGAAGACAGAGGTAGCAAATCAAGCTTTGGACCAAGATCTTCCCATCAAAATAAAGCAAAACTGAATCAATTTAATTAGGTTACAAGAATCACATGCAAAAGAAATTAAACAGATCATTTTTAGCTTACTATCTATAAGGCTCTCCGCTATAAACAAAGGATATTTACCTTCTAAGCCAATTAAACCAGAAAAATACTTACTACTTGATTTTGTGCCCAGATAGATACCACTCCACTTGAAATGGATGCTATGATGGGTCGAACAGGATGCCACTAAATGCAAGGAAGGAAAGAAAAATCAGCTCTAAGAATGGATCCGAGATTACATGTTTCACATCAGTCACAAGGGCAACCTCTCCTACTTACAGCTACATCCAAGAGGAGTTCTCCTCTTGTCCCATGGAGAATCTTCACCAGGTTGCCAATGCTCTTCTCCCAGATGTACAAGGCATGCTGCCGAGCTGAACCAGCCACGATATATTCCCCATCCCCAGAGAAACAACATTTCTTCCACGGGGTCCTAAAGGACAAAGAGAGGACCCAAGGAGAACCAGAAGCTGAGTTCAGCTCATGAACTCCCCTGCATTCTCCTAGGTGGTGATACATACCTATTTACCAAGTCCTGTAACTTCTGCATGGGTTCAGGCTCTCCATCTCTTCCACAAGTTAAGATTTCTCTGCCATCATAAACTCGGATTATTCGATCTGCTGTGTTAATTAAAAAGCAACTAGAGGAGGGATAAAGACATTAACACAAGAGGTCAGAAATCAGTTTCTGTTAACATTTTCTACCTCTTATTTAGAACAGTACCACAGAACTAACTACTCCACTGAGAAGACTCAGTGACAGGCTAGCTTACTTATGTATTTACTTGTCACCTTCCAAAGCGAAATAGAAGCTGAAGTGAAAACATATTCTATACTTTCTGTGTATCCCTGAACCCTATATACACAAACTGATCTTCAGTATTTTTTTAATCTTTAGTATTTGATTGAAATTCAAGATCTCCAAAATGAAACCAGCTTGCTGAATTCACAAACTTACGTAGTAAGACGTACAGTGAGTACTTCATTTCTTTGGCCCATTTTATACATGACATATTCTTTCTAACGAGTTGATAAACTAAATATGTCGTTTTAAAATGTTAAACTTTCTACTGTTACATTGGAAATCTGTCCAAAATGTCATTTCACTACCTTCCTACAGATTTCACTAGGCTTTTCTTAATTCAAGAGAACTTTGAACATGAATGTCCTCTAAGTACACGTGGGTGCTCCTATACAAGATAAGAGGACTGTTACCTGCCTTCCTGACACTGACAACCTAATTCTTCTCATTTCTGTTGACCTATCTACTTCTAGCTGGGCAACCATACTTATCAGAAAAACATCTGAAAGCAAAAGAGTACATACGTTTTGTGTAAATAGAGTGTATGTTTAATTATGTGAATTCTGGGACCTCAGTTCTGATTACTAAAATAGCTCATCTTTACCCAGTACATATATATGCCAGACATTTTATTTCTAAGCACATACCACCCAGATATCTTTTCTGTAAAGGAACTGCCTAGTAATTGCCAGAAAAGAGGACGTGACTGCTGGTTCAATGCAATAAAATTGTATGAACTTAAGAATCAAATACTGACAGTTTCTAGTTATTTTTAAGTAAACTTTCTTAAAGATTTAAGTATAATATACACAAAAACTGTGAATCTCAATGTATTTTTGCATTCTACTCACTTTTAAAACTGTCCCTAAAAAGACAAGGTCTCACCTCCCCTTCCGGGCAAATTCTATGGACTTAATAGCTGTGGTATTGCTTGTTCCAGTTGTTACTCTGAAGGAAGCAACAAGATCCTGAGAATCTGTTTTTAGGACCAAAATCTAAAGTTCAAAGGAAAAAAAAAAATTAAGTATTTTGATAACTTACAGTAATTAGATCTGGCTTCCATTTCTAAAGCTGAGCAGAGACTGGGTAAAAATATAAACACCTCATATATTCAACCTGATTAATTGATTCAACCTGATTAATTACCTTTTAATTCTTCAAATAAAGGACCATCTCTTTAATCTACTCTAAAAATACAATGTCTAGGAGTTCCTGGGTAGCTCAGTCAGTTAAGCGTCTGCCTTTGGCTCAGGTCATGATCCCAAAGCCCTGCATCAGGCTCCCCACTCAGAGGGGAGTCTTCTTTCCAGCTGTCCTCAGCCCCTGCTTATGCTCACTTGTGCACTCTATCGCTCTCTCAAATAAATAAAATCTTTAAAAAAACTACAACGTTTAGTGTTATTCACAATAGTCAAAAGGTGGAAGCAACCCAAGTACCATCAACAGATGAGTGGATAAAAGGGGGTAAATGACTACAGTGGAATATATTCAGCTGTGAAAAGGAGGGAAATTCTGGCACATGCTGTGCATGAAGGAATCTTCAGGACATCAGGCTAAGTGACATAAACCAGTCACAAAAAGATAGATATTGTATGAGTCCACTTACATGAAGTACCTAGGGTAGCCAAATTTATACACACAGAAAGAATGCTGGATGCTGGTTGCCGCCAAGAGGTGGGAAGGAGCAAGGAATAGGAGGTTCCCTCTTAACAAGTACAGAGTTTTAGTTTCATAAGATGAAAACAATTCTGGAGACACATGGTAGTGATAGGTACACAATGTGAATGTACTCAATACTACTAAACTATGCACTTAAGAATGCTTAAGACAGGGTTCCTGGGTGGCTCAGTTGGTTAAGCATCTGCTTTTGGCTCAGATCATGATCCCAGGGACCTGGGATGGAGCCCGGCATCAGGCTCCCTGCTCCAAGGGAAGGCTGCCTCTGCCCCTCCCCCTGCTTGTCCCCTCCCTCCCTCCCTCCCTCCCTCCCTCCCTCCCTCCCTGCCTCTCTCTCTCTCTCTCTCTCTCTCTTTCGGTCTCCCTCACTCTCTCTCAATAAAATCTTAAAAAGAAAAAGATGGGGGATCCCTGGGTGGCTCAGCGGTTTAGCACCTGCCTTCGGCCCAGGGCGTGATCCTGGAGTCCCAGGATCGAGTACCGCATCAAGCTCCCTGCATGGAGCCTGCTTCCCCCTCTGCCTGTGTCTCTGCTTCTCTGTGTCTCTCATGAATAAATAAATAAAATCTTAAAAAAAAAAAAAAAAAAAAGAAAAAGATGGTTAGACCATAGACTTTTTGTTGTGTATTTTACCACAATTTCCAAAAATGGCCACTTTCTAAGATAGCCAAGCAATTATACTAGCCTATATGCTCCAATCACCATTAAAAAAAAAAAAAAATCAAACTGCCTAATGGAACTACAAACTCTAAGCTTAAAAGGGACCTTAGAAGAGTACCTGGGTGGCTCAGCTGGCTAAGTGTACAACTCTTGGTTTCAGCTCAGGTCATGATCTCAAGGTCCTGAGATAAAGCCCAGCGTCGATTCCCACACTCAGCAGTCTGCTTTACTCCCTTTTTCATGCTCTCCTTCTCCCTCTGGCCCTACCACTCCACCTGACCCCTTGGCTTGCACATGCACATATACTCTCCCTAAAATAAATAAGTAATAAATAAATAAATAAATAAATAAATAAATAAGACACAGGCAGAGGGAGAAGCAGGCTCCATGCACCGGGAGCCCGACGTGGGATTCGATCCCAGGTCTCCAGGATCGCGCCCTGGGCCAAAAGCAGGCGCTAAACCGCTGCGCCACCCAGGGATCCCTCAGCTAACCTAACTTCTTACTCTACAAAACTACAGGTTAAGCTGGCCTGAATTTTAAATATTTACAGAACTAGGCATTAAGACATTCTGATCAGATGTATTCCATTTTATACTATGACTTTTAAATTTTATAAATGAGTAATGGCCCTTCCTTATTAGCAAAAGGCCCCTCCACCCTTTCTAAGCCCAGTAGTCTCTGATCACTCTAAATAAGAACAACAGGGTGGCTCAGTGGGTGAGCACCTGCCTTCAGTTCAGGGAGTGATCCTGGGGTCTGGGATCAAGTCCTGCATCAGGCTCCTTGCGGGGAGCCTGTATGTCTCTGCCTCTCTCTCTCTCTCTCGCTGTCTCTCTCATGAATAAATTAAATCTTTAAAAAAAAAAAAAAAGAACAGGGCGCCTGGGTGGCTCAGTCGGTTAAGCATCTGTCTTTAGCTCAGGTCATGATCCCAGAGTCCCATGGCTGGCTCACTGCTTGGCAGGGGGAGCCTGCGCCTGCTTCTCCCTCTCCCTCTCCCATTGCTTGTGCATGCTGTCAAATAAAATCTTTAAAAAAAAATTTTTTTTAATAAATCAATCAAAAAAACTATTATGAAGGCATGTGAGAAAAAATAGGTCACATTTGCCACAGGTAGGACACAGGTTTAGTCCAGGGATAAAAGATATTTCAAAGAAAGCAGAACAAGTAAGTAAACACAAAATAAGCCATTGCACAGGATGACTGATGCCTATTGCTCTGCTTGCAGGCTTACCTTGCCTTTTGCATTTCCTGTATAGATATATTCCCCTCTTCTATCAAAAGATGCAACCACGTTCAAATCGGAGTCGTCATCTACCGGCAGAACAACATGCTTGGAATCTGAAAGGGTCAACATGACAGGAGCAGATTTCATGGGACACACGAGAACCTTGTTCCTGTTTAAAAATATGAATAATACATTGGCTGTTGCTTTGGTATCAAAAGGCTGATTCTCTTGCCCTTTTCCCTGATCTGTTGCTATCTCCATCACCTATCCCGGCCCAAGCAAATTTTAAACAGTAGAAAGCCTAAAATCCAAATGTCTAATAACAGGGAAACGATTGAATATAGCTACCGGATCCTAGCGTAACAAAACAAAATGTAATCATAAAAAATAAATACGAAGTAGCAAGCCAGTAGAAATATGTATGCAATAAAGTAAAAAGGCAAAATGCTAACTAAAATGATGTAAAGGGATGCCTGGGTGGCTCAGTGGTTGAGCATCCCAGGATCGAGTCCCACATCGGGCTCCCAGCATGCCTGTGTCTCTGCCTCGCTCTGTCTCTCATGAATAAATAAAATCTTTAAAATAAAATAAAATGATGCAAAAATACATTACTTATGTACATCTTATATGTATATAATGTGCTTTATGAACGCACTAGATAATAAACATTATGCTTAAAGAGAGCGTGACTACTAAAGAGCCAAGAGAAATGAAGACAGTTACGTCTGGGTAATGGAATGGTGTGTAACACTCTCCTTAAAATCTATTCGGTAAAGCCAACCTAAAGAGAAACATTATTTTATGTAGAAGATTTGAATAGATGTGTGCTTTGCCTCCTAAACCTTAAACTGAACTTGTCATGAGCCTGGAGCTAGGCCACAAAGAATCAGACCCTGCCCCAGGAAAGAACAGTGCCAGTGAAACATACTGATCTCGTGGATGGTACTGGACTTTAAGGATGGGTGAAGGGAACCGAAACCTCTGGTCGCAGTCGCCTGAAAGAACATCCCATTGTGACACTATGTTATCAGTGGAAGCACTCACGAGCTTATGACCATCTCGACTCCAGCTGAAAAAAAAAAGAGGTAAATGAGTACATATCCTAAGTTAAAGTACACTGTACCACTCTTATGGATAAAAATACATGAGATGCACATCCTGCCCTTGTTGCAGGTATCAACACTATTTCTTTTTCTTCTTTTTTTTTTTTACATATACTCAAATCCACAAGCTTTTCCAACTAAACAGTAAATAAAAGAATGTTTTCATGACATTTTTGTATGTAGTAATAAAAGCTCTTAATAGTTCAAGATAATACTACAAGTGGCCCCAGGAATAAAAGATTCAAACATTAAGAAGAGTCTACAATCCAAAAAAAAAAAAAAGCCTACAATCTGCTAGCCCTTAAATGTTGATGCAACAACTGGGGTCGGCAGGCAGTATCTGAGCTTTCTGAAGGTTGTCCCAGAAATAGCACCATCACAGTGTAAACAAAACAAGAAAAATTAGTACCTGTTATTTAAAATAACTAAAAAAGGGGGGGATCCCTGGGTGGCTCAGCGGTTTAGCGCCTGCCTTCGGCTCAGGGCATGATCCTGGAGTCCCGGGATCGAGTGCCGCATCAGGATCCCTTCATGGAGCCTGCTTTTCTCCCTCTGCCTGTGCCTCTCTCTGTGTGTGTCTCTCATGAATAAATAAATAAAATCTTTAAAAACAAAGCAAAACAAAAATAAAATAACTAAGAAAGGAATTAATTCCTCCTGCTAAGTATAGCTAAAGACTCTGAACAACATACATAAACACAAAAAAAACTCTGGAGGGCAGAGCAAGGACAGACTGGCTAGAGATTACACAGGATTTTCTTTTTGCCTTATACATCCCAGACTGAATGATGGAGAAGCCAACAGTCCAGTTACACCAACAGGCTCACACAAATAAAGCCTCAAGACAAGCCTGCTTTCACTAGCCACAGGATCAGGAAAGGACAGCTCACAGAGACAGAAAACTTTTTGGTAATAATTACTATACTCTAGCAACCAATGTGGAAAAAAGTGCAGTTCCACCTTCATCCCAATCAACAAAGTCTAAATAGAGTCTAGAACTTCACTATTGCCTATTTATAGAAAGGCACCTTTCCCCACTAACTGCACTACTGTCAAAGAAAGCTCAGTGGGCAGCCAGATGTTCATACCCACCAGTCTGTAATGAGGACTCCCACTGCAGTGTTAGTGGAGCCCACATGGAGAACAGGAACAAGGCACTTCTACCCTTCCAGCCAGGATGGTATCAGCCTAGGCGGTCAGTGGGGAGCCTGAACTTCCAACCCCACCTAACATAATGAAGCCAAGTAAGAAGCCTGGACTTTCCACCCATCTGGCAATTAACAAGATGGCACCCTCTCTTCTTTGCTGGCACAGTGTCAGAGGAGGCCAGCTAAAACACAAGATTTAAAAAAGCACCACAGTCTCACAGCACAACACCCAAAATGTTAGTTTTCCTTTTTTTTAATTTTATTTTATTTATTTATGATAGGCACACACACACACACACACACAGAGAGAGAGAGAGAGAGAGGCAGAGACACAGGCAGAGGGAGAAGCAGGCTCCATGCACTGGGAGCCTGACGTGGGATTCGATCCCAGGTCTCCAGGATCGTGCCCTGGGCCAAAGGCAGGCACTAAACCACTGCGCCACCCAGGGATCCCAAAATGTTAGTTTTCAAAAGAAAATCACTGTCTATCCAAAACAAGTGTTGTATTTTTTTTTTAAAGATTTTATTTATTGGGCAGCCTGGGTGGCTCAGCGGTTTAGCGCTGCCTTTGGTCAGGGCCTAATCCTGGAGACTTAGGACGAGTCCCACGTCGGGCTCCCTGCGTGGAGCCTGCTTCTCCCTCTGCCTCTCTCCCTCTCTGTGTGGGTCTCTCATGAATAAATGAATAAAATCTTAAAACAACAACAACAAAAAAGATTTTATTTATTTAGTCATGAGAGAGACACAGAGAGAGGCAGAGACACAGGCAGAGGGAGAAGCAGGCTCCATTCAGGAAGCCTGATGCGGGACTCAATCCTGGGACTCCAGGATCATGCCCCAAGCTGAAGGCAGGCGCCCAACTGCTGAGCCACTCAGGTATCCCAGAAGAGAAGTTTCAAAAGAAAATCACTATCAATCCAAAACTAGAAGACAAACCATGAGAGACTCCTAACTTTGGGAAACAAAGGGTTGCTGAAGGGGAGGTTACCCCATGGGGGATGGGGCAACAGAGTAATAGGCATTAAGGGCAGCAAATGATGAGATGAACACTGGGTGTTATAGTGTATGTTAGCAAACTGAATTTATATTAAAAAAAAATTCAAGAACAAAAATCATCGCAACTTGAAAGAGAAAATACACTGAGATAACATTGATGTTAGAATTATTTGACAAGGATTTTAATGCAGTCATCATAAATAAGTTTCCATAAGCAATTATGAAAATGCTTGAAATAAGTGAAAAATAAAATAAACAAAAGTCTTAGCAAAGAAAAAGATACAGAGAAGACCAGAAATGGGAATTTTAGAAATGAAACACAGAACTAAAATAAGAAACCCAATAGACAGGTTCAGCAGCCAATGAAGAAAAAAGAGGAAAGAATCAGTGACCTGGAAGATGGAATAACTCAAATTCTATGATCAGCAAAAATATCCTTCAGGTATAAAAAAGTGAATCAAGACATTTGGCCAGAAGATCTACCATCAAAAACTGATTCAAGGAAGTTCTCTAAATGGAAAGGAAATGATAAAAGGAAGAATCTTAGAACATGAGGGAAAAAGAACAATGAAAAGAATAAAAATATAGGAAGAGAAGATCAGGGTTTTTTTCCCTTTAGTTTTGACACTTAAACCAAAAATTAGAACACTGTCTTACGTGGTGGGTCTGAGTGTATACAGAGGAAATATCTAAGACAATTATATATGAAGGAGAATAAATGGAGGTAAGGTTTCTACACTTCACTTGAATTGGTAAGATGTCAACACTTGTAGACTGCAATTAGTTAGGTGTTATAGAATATAATACCTAGTAACCACTGAAAAGTTATACAAATACCCTCAAAAATACAATAGAGTAGCTCTCTTATCCATGGAGGATACTAGGAGCCCCCAATGGATTCCTAAAGCCACCATAGTATCTAATGCCAAGTAGACTGTGTTTTCCTGTAGCTAACATACCTATTATAAAGTTTAATTTACGTTAGGCATAAATTAACAATGAGTGGTAATAAAACAGAATTATAAATACTGTAATCAATGTTATGTGAATGTGGTCTCCCTCTCAAAATCTTTCAGTGCACTCACTCCTCTTGTGATAGTACAAGATGATAAAATCCCTATGTTGAGGACAAGAAGCATGGGGAAAGACGTAGGTATCATGACACAGCATTAGGCTACTACTGGCCTTCTGACAGTATCTCAGAATCATCTGCTGCCTAACTGTGGTTGACCACAGGTAACTGAAACCACAAAAAAGGAAACCACAGATAAGGGGGACTATTACAGATAAAGTGAAATTCTAAAAAATGTTCAAGAAAGCCACATGAAGGCGGGGGGGGGGGAGGGACAAAAATAAATAAATAAAATTTTAAAAAGAAAAAAGAAAAACATGGGGCAGCTCCAGTGGCGCAGCGGTTTAGCATCGCCTGCAGCCCGGGGTGTGATCCTGGAGACCCGGGATCAAGTCCCACATCAGGCTCCCTGCATAGAGCCTGCTTCTCCCTCTGCCTGTGTCTCTGCCCCACCCCCACCCCCCCCTCTCTCTCTCTCGTCTCTATGAATAAATAAATAAGATATAAAAAAAAAAAGAAAAGAAAAAAGAAAAACAGAAGGGAGGAGGAAAACCACAACCAGTATTTACCCAAATTTTACAATGAAGAGAAGTTGCTACTGAGGAACTTAGCTGGTAGTCTATCTCCATGGTTAAGAAGGTAGGATCAAGAGTCAGACTTATGCTGAAGCCTAGACATTACCACCTTTTATCTGTGAGATCTTGGGCAAGTTATACACCCTTCCGAGCTTCAATTTCCTCACCTACAACATAGGAGCAATATTACCTACCTAGCAGAAGACTATTGACAGAATTAAGATCAGTATATATAAAACTCCTAGTCAATGCCTGATACATCATGAGTGCTCAAAAAACAGTAACAATTATTTGTATCAGAGACAAGATGAATGTATTTCCAGACTTGGAATTCAAGGAGCAAAAGCAAGAGTAAAATAAGGAAGCGAATATAAAGGGATGAAGTTCAAGTCTGCATACCAAAGAACTCTGGAACCTCTCTCATACTGCAAGAACACTTGCAGTCATGCTTACCCCTCAGAAAGGCAATTGCAGGATCCTTCTAGAGAATGTGAATCTAATAAGAGATGAGGCATAAAGATGCCCTTCTGTTAGGATTCACAACAAAAAGCCAGCAATCCACCCATTTCCGCAAATGATAGGAGAGTAACAGGGTGAGCTAACACTTGGATACACTGTAACAGTATGTATCATAAGTAGCAAACTTAACAAACCAAAAAAGTAACATATACATGTTGTTTAGATATACGAAAATAATCACCAGAAGGACAAAAAAAATGAAAGCACACAGGGAACCAGACCATACTGGGAGTGGGGACAAACAAGGGAGAGCTTTTTTCTTTTTCTTTTTTTTTAAGATCTTATTTATTTGAGAGAGATAGAGAGAGAAAAAAAGGCTGCTGAGTGTGCCTAAGAAGGGATGGGTAGAGGAGCAGAGGGAGAAACATCTGACTACTGAACAGAATGTTACCTACATTCCATTTTGTTCTTTCAACTGAACAGAATGTTACCTATCATTCCATTTTGTTCGTCTTGTGCTATAATATCCTTTTCTCTTTTTCCCATAGCAAGCTTGCATTTCTGTTAAAATAGAAGAGAATCTATGGGGTGCCTGGGTGGCTCAGTCAGTTAAAGCCGGATCGGGCTCCCTGCTTAGTGAGGAGTCGGCTTCTGCCTCTGCCCCTCCCTTCACTCATGCTCTCTCTCTGGTTCTCTCTCTCAAATAAATAATTTTTTTTAAAGATTTTATTTATTTATTTATTCATGAGAGACACAGAGAGAAAGAGAGAGAGAAAGAGAGGCAGAGACACAGGCAGAGGGAGAAGCAGGCTCCATGTAGGGAGCCCGATGTGGGACTCAATCCCTACTCTCCAGAATCATGCCCTAGGCTGAAAGCAGGTGAAACCGCTGAGCCACCCAGGGACCCCCCCAAAATAAACAAAATCCTTAAAAAAAAAAAAAAAAGGGAATCTAATTTTTTAAGTGAAATAAGTGAAAACTAAGAGGGGTTCTCCCACTGAAAAAATATATAATAATAGAATATAATAACAATATACCCAACAATTCCAAACTAAATGAGCAGGCACAAATTAGAAGCTGGGGAAAAAACAAACACAAATACAAAAACTAGAGGCTGAGAATATAGCAGGAAAGCGGCAAAGTTCATAAATCAGCACTTACCGTCTCACAAGGAAGATACTCATAAAACAAATTTTTTTTTATTTTATTTTTATAAAACAAATTTTTGCAACAGAATAAGAAAGATGCAACCATGATCTCAAACTTACCATTTCCCCCTCAAGTTTGTATCAGTATCTTCATCCAACCCAGAAATCTGAGGATCATCATAACTTCTGCACTTTGCTCAGACTGCTTATCTGACTAATGACTAGGACTCTTCTTTCTCTACCCTCTCTCCTATCTGTACTGCTCAGCCCCATTCCTGCTGCAACTGTGCTCATCATCTCTAGCGGAGATCTCTGCATTTCCCTTATCTTCATTCCGTCAATCTCTTTTCCACATGCTGTTCTAAAGGTTTTTTTTAAAAAAAATTAAAAGCTCATCACCTGCCATGAGGATCTCAGTTCACTGACTCTTGCCATATCACATCTCCTACACCACAATCCATCTATCTTGAACTACCTGCAGTTCCCCATCTGATCGTGGTCTTAAAGCTGATGTACCTTTGCCTGTGCAGTGTCCTCTGTGTAGAATACAATTGGTAAACATCTACATACACGTTTGAGGTTAGAAATTATCTCACCTACAAAGCCTTTCCATACTACTGTTCTCCAGTACATGAATCATCACCTCCACTAAATCTAAAAACACAGTTCTTGTACAGGAACCATAAAGCTTCAGTACTTGCACCTACTATGTAATTCATGTTTGCTGAAATGAATGAATATATAAGTTTATTCACAAAGATATTCATTAAACATGTAGCAGAGAAACTAGCATAAACTGTTAAGTAAATGATGGTTCATCTATGAGAAGATAAAGAGCCATAAAGTTTTAGAGGTTATGCAAGCAGAGGGTGTCCAGTGGCTCAGTCAGTTAGGCGTCTGCCTTTGGCTCAGGTCATGATCTCTGGGCCCTGGGATCGAGCCCCAATTCAGGCTCCCTGCTCAGCATTCGTGCTCTCTCTCTCTCTGTTCTCTCAAATAAATAAATAAAATCTTAAAAAAAAAAAAAGACACTATGTAAACAGGAAACTATCCAGTGTTAGGGAGAAAAAAAGCAAACTAAAAAACAGAAAAGGGATCCCTGGGTGGCGCAGCGGTTTGGCGCCTGCCTTTGGCCCAGGGCGTGATCCTGGAGACCGGGATCGAATCCCACATCGGGCTCCCGGTGCATGGAGCCTGCTTCTCTCTCTGCCTGTGTCTCTGCCTCTCTTTCTCTCTCTCTCTCTCTCTCTCTCTCTGTGACTATCATAAATAAATAAATTTAAAAAAAAATTTTAAATAAAAAAAAATAAAGTAAAACAGAATAAAGGGGCACCTGGGTGGCTCAGTTAGTTAAGCGTCTGCCTACGGTTTGGGTTGCGATCTTGGGGTCCTGGGTTCAAACCCTGAGTTGGCCTCCCTGCTCAGCAAGGAGTGTGCTTCTCCCTCTACCTCTTCCCCTCCCTTTGCTCTCTCAATGAATAAAATCTTTAAAAAAATAAAATAGAGCACAATTACAAATTCTGCTCTTTAAAAACTATATATAGAAACATACTAAAATCTTTACAGTAATAATACTTGGGTAGTGGGATTATGGGAGATACCAGTTGTTCTTTTTGCTTTGGTGTATTTTCCATAATATTCTAAATGATTACATATTATTTAACAATAAAAATAAATTGTGTATTTTTAACAGGTAGGAATATTAAGATTGTGATGAGGTTGCACAACTCTAAATCTATAAAAACCAGTGAACTATACACTGAGTGAATTGTATAGTATGTGAATTACATATATTTTAATAAAGCTATTAAAAACATACAGGTTTATTTAAATCTTTACTGCAAGAACAGTTAAAAAAAAAAAAAAAAAAAAGCAAAGGAGATGGAAAAACCCTAAGGGATCTTCCAGGCTGGTACTCTCATATTAGGGACAAGTTTTGGCCAAAGAGAGTTCATTAGCAGCCAAACCTACTGGGATTCAGGCCTCCTCCCAATCTACAATAGCTGCCATTACAATATAGCTGCCATTTCCATTTACACAAAAGGAAATATGTTAATTTCATAAATCCAGATCAGATTATGGGGTGCCTGGGTGACTCAGTCAGTTGAGCATCTTACTCTTGATTTCGGCTCAGGTCATGATCTCGAGGTCATGAGATCAAGCCCTACATCAGATTCATGCTCGACCCGAGTCTGCAGAGTCTGCTTGTCCCTCTCTCCCTACAGTGCTCCTTCCCCAGTTCACACACTTGCACACTTGCTCGCTCACTCTAAAATAAACATATAAATAAAATCTTTCTCTTTTTTTTAAAGATTTTATTTATTTAGTCATGAGAGACAGAGAGAGAGAGAGAGAGAGAGAGAGGCAGAGACAGGCAGAGGGAGAAGCAGGCTCCTCGCAGGGAGCCCGATGAGGGACTCGATCCCAGGACTCCACGATCACACCCTGGGCCAAAGGCAGGCGCTAAACCGCTGAGCCACCCAGGGATCCCCCTCTTTTTTTCTTTTTAACCTAAATTTGATTAGGTCCTTTTTTTGGCCCCAAGTTCATTTAGAAGAAAAGGTGTCCTAAAATTTCTGAATACAGCAGTCCCAAAGAGGAAGAAAGAAATCAATGGGAATTTATGTTAAACTAGATTTTAGCTCATTATTTGATAAAAAGCCTCAACTATAATTCAGTGAAGGAACAGACATGCTCATGATCATTAAAACTGCTGGAATTCAGGAACCTGGACAAAGCTGAAGTAGAAGACTTCCAAGCTTCCCTTCCAAGCTAATTAGGGATTAGCTTCCCTAATCAAGACTTTCTTTTCTAAATGAAAAGTCAATATCACAAATACTACTACAGCAGCAATCTGTAAATATCTCATTTCAGTACTGCAATATTCTCAGACAGAGCCTGATATAAATCTACAAGTACACTCAATTTCTCTCCCACAGAGGTACTTCAAGGATAACACGGATTCAAGGTCTACATATGCTATGAGAAATTGTACTACTAAAGACTGAACACTTAAAACTCTAAGTATTAAAATCTAGTACAATGAGATTGGCAATTATAGAGTCACCATTCATCCCCGATTCAACTCATATTAAACATATTAATGTTAAAATTCCTTACCATAAAGAACAAACTGGATGGATGTGTGCACTAATTATTTTAGCAATGCCTCTTGTCAAGAAATCCCAGATGACAATTCGGCCATCATTACAGCCAACTGCAAGCAGCGTGCCCCACCTGTTAAAGGTGCAAGTCAGGGCCATGCTGATACAATCCAAAGTTCCATCGGCCTCCTAAAAATTAAAATGAATACGAGAATATAGACAATAATACCAACATATCCAAATTATTTCTCAAAGGATCTCTATCATCTATGACACTTTTGTTTAATTTAAATTATGATGTGTACCAAAAGAAATTCTATTGTGTTTTTACACCTATTAAACTAACCTAAATGAGGAAATATTTATAAAAGCTAATTTCTGGAAACAGATGTGATTAATCCCATACATTACTAGTATAACTGTACTCAATGTAGAGGGCAATTAGACAAAATATAACAGAATTCATTAAGAGTCATCCCACTGACCCAGTAATCATAGTCTTGGGATTTATTATGAGAAAAATAATTTATAACAAAACCCCTAGAACAACCTGTATGTGCAACATTAGGAAAAGTTAAATACATTATTTTATATTCATGTCAACCCATTTAAAATAACCAGAATGGTTACACCAACAAATATTTCAAGTATTACAAGATATTTTTACATTTAAAAAAGTAAAGCACATTTAGAGCATACACATTATTACTATGCAAAAACACTAACTAAAGCTAGAAAAACACACAGGAAAAAAAAATCTATGTACAGGTGATGGTACTGTTTGTGAAAGATTATTCAAAGTATTTTTAAGATTTACAACCTTATGGTGAGATTTTCCACCAATATTGTCTATCTATATCCTCTCTCCTCAAAATGCAATACTGAATTCCATATTATAGCAAAAGAGGTATATCATCATACTTAAAGCTCCTGTTGTCAAAGGAGGGGGGGATCAAACAACATTTTCCATTCAAACACAAAACCTATCAAGTTACCGTACTCCTAAATTCACAGTAATACTATACTCTTACCTCTGGATAATTCTGCCCAAAGGACTCTGCAACAAAGCAAAGAAAGAATTCATGGAGCATGTGCAACATACCAAGGATCCTCCAGCTCATAATTGGTGGATGCAGTGGTCTGCAAAGTGTGGATGGGGAACTGCTTGGTAGTAGGGGGTAGCTCTGGGACTTGGGGGTGGGGGGAGGGGGGCACACCTATTTTCATTATCATTTCAAGATGGCATCTGCCTCTTTACTCTCCTACCTCCTAAGTTTACAGATGAGTTCTCCTGAGGCCACATCAGCAGTGATATTGTAACAGAGTGCATGCAAAAGCAGATGCAAGAACTCTGCCAACTTCTACTTAGGCCATGCATTAAAAAGACAACTCATAAAACAATGCTCTTCTTCCCACTCTTTTGTTTTAGAGAAGTTATTTTTCATAAAAATGTTACTTACATAAACAGGTAACGGGGCTATGCTGGTTATTCTGAATTACAAACTTTTAAAAATCCAATCTGTCAAACTATCATAAGTCAGATGAACTCTCTGAAACCTTCATTAGCAGCCAACCAGCCATGGTCATCTACCTTCCTATTAATGACATGTGCATTGTCACATCATCTGGTAGTTGATTACTGATGCAATTCTCTAGATTAATTTCTTAAGCAAATGACAGTTGGGGGTCAACACGCCTAAATGCTTTTCCTATATGAAATGTGGTGTTCACACACAAGTCACAAACATTTCAAGCTGCAGATGATGGCATGATGATACCGCCCACTTCTCAGAACTGTCACATCAGCAGCAACACTATCTTTGTCAGGATTTACTTATAACATTACCTAAGTATTTTACTACAGTGGTCTTTATAATGAAAACTACAGGTCCATGAAAGCTGTTTCACACATAAGGCACTCAAATCAGATTTCATTTAAAAAAAAAAAAGAAGTCTAGGGATCCCTGGGTGGCTCAGCAGTTTAGCACCTGCCTTTGGCCCAGGGTATGATCCTGGAGTTTTGGGATCGAGTCCTGCATCAGGCTCCCTGCATGAAGACTGTTTCTCCCTTTGCCTGTCTCTCTGCCTGCCTCTGTCTCTCATGAATAAATAAATTAAATCTTAAAAAAAGGGATCCCTGGGTGGCGCAGAGATTTAGCGCCTGCCTTTGGCCCAGGGCGCGATCCTGGAGACCCGGGATCGAATCCCACGTCAGGCTCCTGGTGCATGGAGCCTGCTTCTCCCTCTGCCTATGTCTCTGCCTCTCTCTCTCTCTCTCTCTCTCTCTCTCTCTGTGCGTGTGTGACTATCATAAATAAATAAAAATTTTAAAAAAATCTTAAAAAAAGTCTACTTTAAAGAAAAAGTCTGAAAACCAGTTTTATGTGACATTCTGTCCTTTATAAAAATTAATTGAAAACTAAAGAGTGGGGATCCCTGGGTGGCGCAGCGATTTGGCGCCTGCCTTTGGCCCAGGGCGCGATCCTGGAGACCCGGGATCGAATCCCACGTTGGGCTCCCGGTGCATGGAGCCTGCTTCTCCCTCAGCCTGTGTCTCTGCCTCTCTCTCTCTCTCTCTCTCTCTCTCTCTGTGTGACTATCATAAATAAAAATTAAAAAAAAAAAAAAAAAGAAAACTAAAGAGTGAAGGATGCCTGGCTGACTCACTTGGAAGAGCATGCAACTCCTGATCTCGGGGTTGGGAGTTTGAGCTCCTTGTTGGTTGTAGAGATTACTTAAAATGAAAGGAAGAAAAAAAGAAAAACCACAGTGAAAACATAAGAAGTAATCAAAAAGCACCAGCCCTACAGTAAAGAACACTAAAAGAAAGATGAAACTAAAAAAAAAAAAAAAAAAAAAAGAGAAAGATGAAACTAAAGGTAAATGTCCCCAAAAGGTAATTATCTTGATTTATCTAATGTGAACCAGACTTAGAGTGGCTGACTGCATTCAATTATGAAAGAAGGACCTGAAATGCTGAAACCATATCAAGAAAGGTTTTGGGGGACTCTTGGATAGCTCAGCGGTTGAGTGTCTGCCTTTGGCTCAGGGCGTGATCCCAGGGTCCTGGGATTGAGTTGGGCTTCGGGCTCCCCCGCAGGGAGCCTGCTTTTCCCTCTGCCTGTGTCTCTGCACCTCTCCCTGTGTCTCTCATGAATAAATAAATAAAATCTTAAAAAAAAAAAAAGGTTTTTGAAAGAACTTTTGTCAAGTTACTGAAGTAATACATGTAATACAGAAATGTGTAATTAAAAAATCGTTTGTGCAACCCACTCACCAAGGTTAAATATTCCATGTATTTCTATATGCCTATTTGTATAAGCAAATATAGAAGCATGTATTTATATAAGCATTCATATATTTACAGTTGTATTTTTTTTAATATTTTATTTATTTATTAGAGAGACAGACAGGCAGGCAGAGGGAGAAGCAGGCTCCATCCCGATCTCCAGGATCACGCCCAGGGCCGAAGGTGGCGCTACACCACTAAGCCACATTATGCATACAATGTGACTTGTATCATCAGTAATTTGGCTTACACATCTTTCCAAATCAGTAAGACAGATCTATATTCACACGATTAAGGAACAAAAAAAAAGCATTTATCCAAAAATTTAAAAAACAAACAAAAAAACCACAATGTGAAAACAGAAAATACTGGGAAAGGAGCACAGTGTGATATGCTGTGTTGAGATAAGTAAAGTCACATAGAAGATTCTGAGCTAGTCTAGAATCCATGGACCATTTAAATGTATGACTACCTCTCAACACAGACTATCCCTTGTATTTCTGATTTGTTTTTATGATGGGCTTTTCTTTTTTGCGAGTTAATCATGCTAGTTAATAGAATTACAATAAGGTGCTTAAAGGAGAACAAAGAGAAAGTGAAATATAAAAAAGACTAGACTAGGGGATGCCTGGGTGGCTCAGCGGTTTAGCACCTGCTTTCTGCCCAGGGCGTGATCCTGGAGTCCCAGGATCGAGTCCCACATCTGGCTCCCTGCATGGAGCCTGCTTCTCCCTCTGCCTCTGCCTGCCTCTGCCTGTGTGTGTGTGTGTGTGTGTGTGTGTGTGTGTCATGAATAAATAAATAAAATCTTAAAAAAAAAAAAACAGACTAGGCTAATCTAGAACAGTTTTGTTGGAGGGCCTGAGCAGGATTGCCGTCAAGCAGAATTACAAAAACACAAGGCCCCTTCCTCAGAAAATGTTCAAAATCATTTATATTCTCCATCTTGCTACCATCTACCATTTTATGTGACAATTAGATTTCTGAGATTTTAAAAACCATACAGGGGAAAAGAAAAGATACCCAAAGATGTGGATGCCAAAGAGAAATAAAACCCTTGTCAGAAATTTCACTTCATGATACACCTGATACAAAAAACATGAGTGACTTCTATAGCAAAACATTTCCAAAACTGATTACAGAAGAAAAATCCTTGACTGGATCAATCAGTAAAAAACACAATGAATGGTTGTTAAAGACAAACCATTAAAAGAGGGGGAGGGGAATAGGCCCATAAAGATCCTGTGAGCAGTTTCTCCTAAGATTCAATCTCCTTGAGATTCAAGCAGCAATTACTATGTTATTCAAGCTATTCTGAGCAGAAAAAAATATAGTTTCTTATAAAGCCAACATAACTGACACCAAAACATCAGAGACAACACAAAAAAGAAAATAAGAATTTTCTTAACATAAAGTGTACATGATATTTTACCCTTACATTCTACAGACTTGAAAAGTAACTTTTTTTTTTTAGATTTTTATTTATTCATTCATTCAGAGAGAGCGAGAGAGAGAGGCAGAAACACAGGCAGAGGGAGAAGCAGGCTCCATGCAGGAAGCCCGATGTGGGACTCGATCCCGGGTCTCCAGGATCACACCCCGGGCTGCAGGCGGCGCCAAACCGCTGCGCCACCGGGGCTGCCCTGAAAAGTAACTTCTAACAATATATACAATTATACCCAATTTCTAAACACAAAGCATCTGGATTTTGTTATTGTACCATGTAAGAAGGCATTACAGTACAGCAGAAAAAACAAAGAACGTGGTTATGGCAAGGGCACTCCTAACATACCTTCATGGCACAATGTACATCCTTAGTCAAGAATGTTTGTAACAGCCACAATCCTATCAGCAGAAGCTAAAAACACATTTACTAAAACTCCATAATCATTTCTATTAAAAGGAACAGAAGACTACAATAAATGATACATTCTAACAAATCACGATTATCATTCCAAAAGGTGAAATATTAAAACCATTACATTTTTTTTTTAAGATTTTATATATTTATTCATGAGAGACACAGAGACAGGCAGAGAGACACACAGGCAGAGGGAGAAGCAGGCTCCATGCAGGGAGCAAGATGCGGGACTCCCAGGTCTCCAGGATCATACCCTGGGCTGAAGGCGGCGCTAAACCTCTGAGCCACGTGGGCTGCCCGTTAAAGCCATTTCAATTAAAACCATTAATTAATGTTTTTAATATTAAGCAACGAGGAAGGCTTTATATACATCATATATAATATATATTAGCCAATAAATATTAGTTAATACCATCTTTGTGGCTCCAGCCAATGGAATAATAAAATGATAGCTGGTTTAACCATTGAATATAAGGAGATAAACCAATCACTCTTTTGCTATCACTGAATACCCAGAAAACACAAGAGGCTCTAATAAGAAAATTATTTAACTTAATAAGAAAATAGGAAAGGGGCTCCTGGCTGGCTCAGTCAGGAGAGCGTGCAACTCTTGATCTCAGTGTCATGAGTTCCAGCCACATGTTGGGTGCAGGGATTACGTTAGCAATTAGTATCCAAAAATAGAAATACAAGGAAAAACTCCATTCACAATGGCTACAAACATATAAAATATTTAAGGAAAAAGCTAATAAGGAGGACAAAAGACATGTATGAAGAAAACTATAAAATCTTAGATAAGGCCATAAAATCTAAACAAATGAAAAGACAATCTGCATTCTGGGATGGGAAAACTTGATGTGCACACACATACACACACAAGTATATATAAGCACAGAGAAAAATATGG